GGTAAAGTTAAAAAAACAAAAACAAAAACTTTGAAAAAGAACAATGTTGGAGGACTTATACTATTTGATTTCAAGATTATTATAAAGCTACAATATCAATACCGTGATGCTGGTGCAAATATAGACAAATAGAGAATCCAAAAATAGTCTCATACATATATGGACAACTTTTTCAACAAAGGCAAAAAAGGCAGTTCAGTGGACAAAAGAGAATCTTTTCAATAAGTGGTTCTGGAACAATGAAGTATCCATATGTGAAAAAATATGCTTTGATCCATACTTTGCACCATATACAAAAATTAACTCATAATGGATAACAGGTCTAATTGTAAAACCTAACACTAAAAATCTTCTATAAGAAAACATAGGAGAAATCCGTTGTGACCTTGGGTTAGGCAAAAGTTTCTTAGATATGACACTAAAACATGATCTATAAAAGAACAATTTGACAAACTGGACTTCATCAAATTTTAAAACTTCTGCTCTTCAAAAGACACTGGAGAATAAAAATACAGGCCACAGACGAGGAGAAAATGTTTACAAATCATATGTCTTAGAAAGGACTTGCATCTGGAATACATAAAGAACTCTCAAAACTAAATAATAAGAAAACAAACAACTCAATTTATATATATATATATGTATATATATATATATATATATATATACTAAAGATTTGAACAGACTTCACCAAGATATACGGATGTAAAAAGCACATTTTGCTAAACATCATTAGTCATTAAGGAAATGCAAATTAAAATCACAGTGCAATACCACTGCATACCCACTAGGATTAGTATAATAAAAAAGATGGACAATAACAAAAGTTGGTGAGTATTTGGAGAAATGGAACCCTCATACACTCTTGGTAGGAATGTAAAATGATACAATCATTTTGGAAAACAGTTTGGCCATTTCTTTAAATGTTAAACATACACCTGCCATATGATCCAGTCAAATTGCAGCACGTTCATATAATGGAATTGTACTCAGCAATGAAAAGGAATGAACTACTGATACATGCTACCACATGGATAAACCTCAAAATAATTAGGCTGAGTGAACAAAGACAGACAACAGCAAGCACATACCATATGTTTCTATTGACTAACGTGCTAGGAAATGCAAAATAATGTGTAATTACAGATGCAAATTGGTGGTTTCCTGGGAACACGATAGGGGAGCAGCAAATGAAGGTGGGAGGAATTACAGAGTGGCAAGATAAAACTTTTGGGGTTGCTGGATATGTTCATTATCATGATGGCAATAATGGTTTCACAGGTGTACACATATGTCAAAACTTAACAAATTGTAGTCTTCAAATATGTGTAGCTTATACCTCAATACAGCTGTTAAAAACAATAAAAAGATATAAAAGATGATACTAACTTTGCCAATCTTTTCTGTCTAGCCATGAAATTAAAATGTATATAATTTTTAAAATGTGATAAATATGTTTTAATGAAGATGTGAGTAAAATTATATTCTAAAAGCCCTAGATTGCAAATTTAAAGACACAATTTAATTTTTACAACAATTGGATATATAAAATATCGACTCAATGGCAGTGGGTTTGGTTTTTTATTTTTATCCTAAAATGTATCTCAAATTTAAATTCATATGATAAAATATTTTGTGTAAAATGTTTATTTTTAGAACTCCAGTACAATGCAAATATTATGGAATGATTTGACAAGGGAAGTTGTAATATTCAATAGTGCTTATTTACAAGTATTATTAGGTGACAGATTTGACCACTTAGATGCAGGGCAACTCTGTGGGCTCCAGGAACATACAGTCTATACTTTGAAAACTATGTTTTCAGAATATGAACTGATCTCTTAAAATACAACATATTTTACTTTTCTTATGAGAAAACAGGCATAAAGAATTAAAATAACTTTACTAGATTCAAATTAATTTTGAAAGTGAAATCTATATTCTAGTAGACCAATGAAACTGAAAAACAAATTTATTAGGATCTAAATATTATTCCAGACTTTGTAGAATGATATCCCATTCATCAGAGTATGGATGAACTGCTTATAATGTCATGCTAGATTCTGGCCTTAACTGAACTTCTGGTCCTGGGGCTTTTTGGCACATCTAGAATGTCCCCAGGTACTCTGGGCAGCTTGTACACCTCCATGTTGGTTACAGGTGCACCCTGAAGGACATAATAGGACCTCCCACCTCACTGGGTGAAAAATGAGTATCACCATCCCCACTACCCCCACTTTAACTTGAAGAGGGGACTATACCTATTAATTCCTTTTTATAATTAATTAACTATGCAAGCAAGGATTATAGAGTGCCTATTACATGGCCAGCACTGTGATAGTCATTGAGGATATATAAGAGAACAGGGCAAAAACAGTATCTGTCCTCATGGAAAGGAAATTATGTGGAGTAGGAAGATAAAACACAGGTGGTGTCTTAGTTATCTAGTGCTGCTATGACAGAAATACTACAAGTGGATGACTTTAACAAAGAGAAATTTATTCTCTCACAGTTTAGGAGGCTAGAAATCTGAATTCACGGAACCAGCTCTAGGGGAAGGCTTTCTCTCTCAGTCAACTCTGGAAGAAGGTTCTTGTCATCAATCTTCCCCTGCTCTAGGAGCTTCTTAGCACAGGTACCCCAGGACCAAAGGATGCACTCTGCTCCTGGCACTACTTTCTTGGTGGTATGAAGTCCTTCTATCTCTCTGCTTCCTTCTCTCTTTTATATCGCAAAAGAGATTGACTCAAAATACAATCTAATCTTGTAGATTGAGTCCTGCCTCATTAACATAACTGCCTCTGATCCTGCTTCATTAACATCATAGAGGTTAGGATTTACAACACATAGGAAAATCACATCAGATGACAAAATGGTGGACAATCACACAATACTGGGAATCATGGCCTAGCCAAGTTGACACATATTTTTTTTTGGGGGGGGTTACACAATTCAATCAATAACATTCCACTCTTTGGCCCCCAAAAATTCATGTCCTTGCCACATGTAAAACACATTCACCCCATCATATCATAGCAAAAGTCTTAAATCAACTCCAAGCCCAAAATCCATAAATTCCTCTTCATCTGTGAAATCTAGAATACAAGTTGTCTGCTTCCAAAGTACAGTGGTGGAACAGGCACAAGCTAGACATTTCCATTACAAATGGGATAAATTGGAGGGAGAGAAGGGATAACAGGCACCAAGCAAGTCAGCAGAACACAATACATTAGCTCTCAAGGCTTGAAAATAATCCTCTGTTCTCTGAGACCATTTAGACAATGGCCCTGCCCTCCAGACTCTAGGTATTGGCCACACTCTCCCAATTCTGAGTGGAGGCCCCTCGGCCCTGGGCTTCAGCTCTGCCTTCCAGGCCCGTTGGAATGGCAACTTTGCTACCTCAAATTCGGGCAGTCCCATTCTCCTAGTCCATCTGAGTGGCGACTTCACCCTTTGAGACCCCAGAAGTCATGGCCCTACCCTTTGAGACTGAGGCAGCTCTGCTTCCCGTGCTCCTTGTCTCTTCAGCTTCTGCTTCCTGGTTCCTTGACCTCTTGACCCCTCAGGACTTGCTACCCATGTCAGCCTGCTGGGGCAAGTGTTCCAAAGCTCTTTAGCTCTACCAGTAAGTGCCTTGAGGCACTCTACTCTGCCAGTAAACTTCGGCCAGAAGGCACTCAGCACTCTTGCTCCGTGGGTCTCGTCAGGCCTAGCCTCACTGATAAGTGCTCGGAGGCACCCCGCTCCACCAGGAAGCATCCTGCCAAAGGCACTCAGTTCTCACTCTGTGGGTCGGCTCCAGTGCTGTCTCACGCCAGTCTCCTGGTTTTGCTGCTGCTGGTCCTTTGCTGCTTCCGGTTCTCTGATGCTGCTTCTTGCCATCTTCACCATCTCCAGTGTTTCACTTCCTTCTGAGTCCTCACCAGAATTGTCTTTGATGTTCATAATTCCACCAACAGTCTCTTCAAGGAAATCTAGGCTTTTACTATTAGGCACTTTAAAACTCTTCCAGCCTCTGTCCATTCACAGTTTCAAAACTGCTTCCACATTTTAGTTATCTGTTATACCACAACCCCACTCCCAAATGTCTTAGGCTGGGTTTTCTAGAGAAGCAAAACCAATAAAGCATATAAATATATATACAGAGAGAGATTTATATCAAGGAAATGGCTCACGCTATTGTAGAGGCTAGAATGTCCCAAGTCCGTGGATCAGGATAGAGGCTTCTCCTGATTCACATAGCCGCAGGGGCTGGCAAACCCAAGATCAGCAGGTGAGAGAGCAGAGCTCTCACTCACAGGCTACAAAGACTGACAAATCCCAAGATCAGCAGGCAAGATAGCAGGTAAGCTGCTAGCTCAGTACCAAGAACCGGAGGTCAGACAAACAGGAGTCAGCTGTAGGATCTAGAGCAAGCAAGAGCCCACAAGCCTTGCCAGAAAGTCCACTTACATTCAGTACAGGCCACACCCCCAAGGAAGCTCCCTTTCAACTGATTGGCTATTCACGGTAGATCCTATCATGGAGGTGATGACATTATGTCAAATCTCATCATGGAAGTGATCACATCATCATATGACTGCCAAACTACATCATAACTGCCAAACCCCTGAGAATCATGGCCCAGCCAAGCTGACATACAACCTTAATGATCACAGGTGGTTAAGTGGTAAGAAGTAAATAAAGCAGGATAAAGAGAGAGAAGACTTGGATGTGGTGATATCACTAGATTGGGTGGTCAGAGGAGAGCCCTCTGAGGAGGTGCCGTGTGATCTAAGAACTGGATGACACGATGAAGCTAGCTTTGTAAACATCGGTGGAAGGGAGAGCAGCAAATGTCTGGGGGTACCTGCGCTCTGAAGTTTATTCTGAGAAATATGAATGGAAACAAGAGGAATGTAGAAAGGCAAATGGCAAATAAGAAATTGGAATGATGCAAAGAAGAGCTTTTATGAGGTAAGTGATATCCAGGTATGATTTTATTTTTCCTGTGATGTCAGGTGAGGAAAATAAAGCAACTCTGCTTGAACTTGGAGCTGTGGAACCTTTAACTAAACTGCTCACCCATGAAGACAAAATTGTAAGAAGAAATGCTACTATGATATTTGGAATCCTGGCTTCGAATAGTAAGTGTCAACTTTTAAAAATAATCAAATAATTTCATGTAATGCATTATCCTTTTAAATTTTAACTTTAAGGGACTTGTTTTAATTTTATTTAAACTGACTTTAATGTTAATAAAAAAAGTTACATTAGTTCAACAAATATATGATTTATATTGTAAGGTATAGTTTTAAAATAGAAAAATATGTGCAAATATATTCATGTAAAAACTCCTTTCAAAGATGGTGATGTTCCAGTTTTACAAGCTGGGAGAAGAATTGGTGGCTCTTAAAATTGATAAGTTTTTTTTTTTAACTTAGTATAATACAATTTGCTTGTGTGTATATAAGTTATATTTTATATAAAGAGTTTTGATATGTTGATTTTTTTGAAACTTCAAACTATATTTTGCCAAAAATAATTTTAGATGTGTACTTAACTCCTTAAATCATACCTATTACTTGCTTGGAATATTTTCATCTGGTATAAGAGTATTTTTAAAATATTCTATTATATCTTCAGAATACCAGCTTGACCAAAACTATGCTGATAAAGGCAGTCTTTGACTGATGAGTAGGATATTTTCCATTTGTAAGTCATTTCCCTGGGTAATTATTACTAAACTTATAGTAGTTCATTTTTTGAGTCATCCCACAAAAGCCTTGTAACTCATAATACATCTGAAATGGCACCCTTAGCAGAGACTGGATTCTAGCATGAAACTCAGGCTGCTAGGAATAAATATGTCTCTATCATGGTAGGAGCCCTGGTGGTGCAGTGGTTAAGAGCCTGACTGCTAACCAAAAGGTCGGCAGTTTGAATCCACCAGCTGCTCCTTGGAAACCCTGTGGGGTAGTTCTACTGTGTCCTTTAGGGTTGCTATGAGTCAGAATCAACTCAATGGCAATGGGTTTGGTTTTTTTGGCTATCATGGTATGTGTCTAAAATTATTCAGATTTTCTCCTCTTACCATAGTCTCAGCCTTAGTGCAAGCACAGTTTTTTTTCTCCTACTTTCTGCACCCCCTCAGTTTTCCCTCACCCCCTGCCACTTTCCGTGGACCTTATGCGATAGCAGTGTTGTTGTTGCTGTTGTTAGGTGCCGTCAATTTGGTTCCGGCTCATAGCGACCCTATGAACAACAGAACGCGAAACACTGCCTGGTCCTGCGCCATCCTCACAAGTGTTGTTATGCTTGAGCCCATTGTTGCAGCCACTGTGTCAGTCCATCTCGTTGAAGGTCTTCCTTCCTCTTTTTCGCTGACCCTCTACTTTACCAAGCATGATGTCCTTCTCCAGGGACTGATCTCTCCTGACAACATGTCCAAAGTATGTAAGACATAGTCTCGCCATCCTTGCTTCTAAGGAGCATTCTGGTTGTACTTCTTCCAAGATAGATTTGTTCGTTCTTTTGGCAGTCCATGGTATATTCAATATTCTTTGCCAACACCACAATTCAAATGCATCAGTTCTTCTTTGGTCTTCCTTATTAATTGTCCAGCTTTTGCATGCATATGAGGCGATTGAAAACACCATGGCTTGGGTCAGGCACATCTTAGTCTTCAGGGTGACATCTTTGCTTTTCAACACTTTAAAGAGGTCTTTTGCAGCAGATTTGCCCAATGCAATGCGTTGTTTGATTTCTTGGCTGCTGCTTCCATGGGCATTGACCATGGATCCAAACAAAATGAAATCCTTGACAACTTCAATCTTTTCTCCATTTATCATGATGTTGTTTATTGGTCCAGTTGTGAGGATTTTTATTTTCTTTATGTTGAAGTGTATGAAACCCTCCAAATTGTTTGAGAATTTTTCTGAGTAGGATCCATAAGTTTCATGAGCTTCAAAAGGAGTTTCTGACCCAAAAAAACTAAGAATTTCTGTTACATTTGGGTGATAAATGAGGTGGGTATCTTAGACCTGCTGGACCTCACTCTGTAGGCTGGCTGGTTGGACTGTGACTCAATGCTAGAAGGAGGCTCCAGGTCTGCAACCGCAAAGCTGAGGACAGTGGGTCAGAAACACTGCCTGCTTTGTGGCCTTCCAGGTCTTCACTGAGCACGTAGGTCTCAGGTATGATGAATGAATTTCTAAAAGCTTTCTTTTGATTCTATGAATTGGATGAAAAAAATAAAACTATTATTGGAATTAACTGGACTAATTTTCTATTTGAAGTACCTGATGACACAGCTAGAAAACTGGCAACCTTAACTACTTGTGAAGTTCTTTTGTTTGTAGAGCCAACACATTAACAGCTATTGCTTCACTTTTCATACATGCCCAAGAAAACATGGGATACGATATAAGCAAAATTATTTAGAAAACTAGTTATTTGATCTAGATGAAAAGTCATATTTCCAAATTAATATTTAACTGCACCTCTGCAGTTGCACTGTTAAATCATCATCTTTGGCAGTCTTCTTAAAATAAGTGATGCATCTTCAGAAATTTGTATCTTCGTGTGGTTTTCATGCAGTCAATAATATTGTTACGCTCATAGTGTATGAATCTGATGTTCCGGCATAATTCCAGGTGCTAAAAGGATACCTTTGAGAGTCATCTTTCCTTTTTGCAGTTGCAAATCAAATATTGCTTCTTATTTTTTGCTGGAGAGATTGAGTTACATGCTTATGCCAAGACTCGGACATTCAAGACAGGTATTTAAATTACTTTGTTAAACTTTTATCAAAATGGAGCTGCTGTCTTCTTTCCACTGCTATGTGGTATTTAGTTTGATGAGGCCACATAACAACAGAGACTCATTTAATGAAGTCAGCTAAAGAGAGAGTTTATCAGCATCCTTGTGAGGAGAATAACAGGAGAAGTAGCCTCTGAAACCTAGACTTTATATTACTTAAAGCAATCTGAAGAGCTTGCCATCTTAGCAAAAGGTGGATGTGGAGGAGTATATAAGGTCAGCAGTAAATTAGATGGTCAACGTTATGCAACTAAATATTTGTGAGTACAAGAATGCAATGAAAACAGATTGCATAAAGGTAGCCCAGGAAATGAAGGTGACAGCGGGTCTGAAACAACCTAAAATTGTAGATGTCACACTATTTGGCTGGAACATGTTCGTGTGGCCCAATAACAAGTCAGAGCTTCTATTTGTCACCATATCTGAGAGTACTCTCAGTTGAGAAGGAAAGGGGACAGAGATCAATATTATGTTTAAAATGGTGGAAGTAGCAGCTTACCCATTATTTTTGCTGATTTGACCTCAAGAAAAATCCTGTGAACAATCTGGTGTCGAAAAGCAGAATAACAAATGAATCAACTGTACCACCAATTTACAAGAGATGTCAGTTTATCTGAATAATCTACTGAGCTATAAGAAAATGGTTTAGTAGATAGATCTATGAGATCTGTTGTGAACATCGCTTGCCATTTGGGCTTGATTCAGATCTCGAGGAGAATTTCATGTCACAGAGTGATCCTCTGAAGAAAACTTTAACTTGCTCAGGCAGACCAAGGTGTAATGTCATCTGAAGCTGCACATAGAAATGTAGTAGTGTGGCCTCTCCCCATGGGAGTGGATCATGCAGAGAGACCAGAGGAACAGAGAGTGCATGGACCATGAATCTTCTTGACCTTATGGTCAGTGTTGCAGCAAAACTTTTCAAGTATGCGGAAGATTATTTTGTATACCACATGGGAAATGTACTTGGAGAGCTAAAAGCCCAGAACTATTTTTCTTCAAGCATGTAAAAATAGGAGACTTTAGTGTGGCCTTCACGGGCATCATTCTGAGAGCAATACAGACCAGACTCATAGACGTGAGAAGAGAACAATAACACGCTCTTCTGGAGGGTGCACCTGTGTACAGTTTGCCTGAACACTTGAAAGGATCTGAGTATTATACCAAAGCTATTATTTCTTAACCTGTGGAGAATGCTTTTTTTGGAAATGAGTGTTCACTATACAATGATGTCCTCCACCTTGGTAGGTACACTTTCAAAGCCCGATTATTCTTTTGCACATCAAGCCTGCTCACATATGTGTTAAAAAAAAAAACAAAAAACCCAAACCCTTTGCTATCGAGTCAATTCCGACTCATAGCGACCCTATAGGACAGAGTAGACCTGCCCCATAGGGTTTCCAAGGAGACGCTAGTGGATTCAAACTGCCAACCTTTTGGTTGGTAGCCTGAGCTCCTAATCACTACACCACCAGGGCCCCCACATATGTATAGCTAGGTGTAATTTTGCTGAATCTCTTTTAGCCATTTTGAACAGAAACAGAAAGAGCAGATATTTTGACAGGTTGAAAAACAGCCATATCCCTGAGTCCCTCAGGAAAAGGTATCTAGCAAAATCCAAGTATATCTAGCAGTTAATGAGGAAGAATTCATCTAGACACCATCTGCTGTTCAGCTGCTGCAAAGTGAACTTTTCCAAAATTCTAGTAATGCTAATTTTGACCTACAGATAAAGATAATTGACCAAGAAGAGAAACTGTAGAGCTCAAGGCATGTCTATGCCTGTTTGTCAGAAAAGCAGGACTAGGATGATGGAAAAGAAGTACAGGCATACCTGTCTAGCCTTAATATAAAAGTGAACTTTAAAAAAGTCAATATACTTGTCTTAAAGCATATTTGGCATTTCTGAATAATCAAATTAAATGTAAACAATCAAGATGTATTAATTAAAATAGTCTGGGATAATTGGTATTTGTATTCTGTGCAAGTTTTATTTACATCAAATTTTAAAAGTACCTCCAAACTAAAAATAATAATAATAATACTGTATAACAAACTTACTCAGGTATACCAAAAAACCAAACCTGTTCTTGAGTTGATTCTGACTCATAGCAACCCTATAGGACAGAGCAGAACTGCCCCATAGGGTTTCCAAGGAGCAGCTGGCGGATTTGAACTGGTGACCTTTTGGTTAGCAGCCAAACACTTATTTAGGGCACAGTAACTCAACTTCACTGACATGTGTTCTAGGAACATTTTGTACTTTTATGGTTATCTTTTCTAGTGATATGGAATGTAGTATAGCTCAGTGATCAAGAAGTGTAAGCTAGAGTCTGCCTGGAATCAGACAGTCCCGGACATGAAACCTGACCCCACACTTACTTCCTGTGTCATTCTGAGCCACAATTTCCGTATCTGTGACATTTGATAATAATATTACCTATCTCATAAGAAACTATTCAATAGACAATTACATTATTATTAATAATAAACATCAGTATTCTGTTTCTTTTGTAGATGATGTTAAAAAGTTGTTAAGGGAGTTAGATGTCATGAATTCTGTTATTGCTCAACTCGCTCCAGAAGGTAACTTTGCATCCTACATCTGTTTCCAAAAAAATGGGACTAGTTTATTTTTACATCTGATAAACTCTATTTAAAAATACTTACGAAATATGGGTTGTGAACTGTCATTAACAGTTTCTCAAACTGCAGTTCAGTTTTGAGTTTATAAAAAAGGTGGCTTCTAACAAAAATAAGATTTGTCGATCTTTGGTTTCCACTGCATGTTTTGAAGTAATGGTTGAATAAGAATTTAGCATACTTGTGTTGTTTGTTTTTGATATACAGAAGAAGTAGTTATCCATGAGTTTGCTAGTCTTTGTTTAGCAAACATGTCTGCAGAGTATACCAGTAAAGTACAAATATTTGAACATGGCGGATTAGAGCCACTCATCAGACTACTGAGTAGCCCAGATCCTGATGTAAAGAAGAATTCTATTGAATGCATTTACAACTTGGTACAGGTAAGATGTTTTTTAAAATTAGTTTTCACAAAAGCTGACTATAGAATTTATTTTCTCATATTAAAAAAAAAGAAAAAGCTTTTAAAAATGCACTACTTGGGACTAATCAGTTTTATTTGGTACTTATGTGATAGTATTTATCATCCAGAGAAAATCATGGACTTTTAGTGTGAATACTTTTCAATTTTCATGTTTTATAAGTAATTGCCTCCCATGTAAGGGCATTTTAGAAACATACGTCTATTTTAAAACAATAGAATGGCATGCAAGTTAAGATGGGATTATACTAGATAAAATTTACTTTTTCTGAAACAGAAAATCTAATGTTCATGTTGAACCAGGTTTGACCTGGGCAGCTTCTTATGGATCTAACCTGGGTGACTGAGCACATTGGTTGGAGTATTCTAGAGTAGACTTATTTACTGGGGAAAACATAGTGATCTGAGTATTCAGAACATAACTCATTGTTCAAAGAGTACAAAAAAACCCTGTACTTTTTCCTTTGTAATAGAAAGAAACTGCTCACCTTCTCCTTTGCTCACCTGCCCTGTCCTCTGCCTCCTCCTCTCTTCACCCAACACATACACCCTCCCACCCTCAGCAATCACCTGACACTTTGGACAGCCTTCTCTGCTTCTTATCCTGCTCAGGCTCCTTTGCAAATACCACACACACTTGATAAGCTTTGTTGTAGTTGTTAGTTGTCGTTGATTCCGACTCATGGCAACCCCATGTGTGCAGAGTAGAACTGCTCCATAGGGGTTTCAAGACTGTGACCTTTCAGAAGCAGATCACCCGGCCTGTCATCTGAGGTACCTCTGGATGAGTTTGATCTGCCAACCTTTTGGCTAGTAGTTGAGTTCTTAACCATTTGTGCCACCCAGGGATCAGCAGAAAATACGGAAACACCTTTTTAAATTACTGTCAATAAGGGTGTGAAAGGAAGAGATGTTGAAGCAACCATGAGGAAGAGGAAGAGAGTTAATTGAGAAGCAAAATGTCTAGATAAAGTATCTAGGCAAAGAGAGACAAATGATTTATGCCAAAAAGAAGCAAAAGCATAAATTTCTGGCCTTAGCATGGCATTGCCACTTGATTCTGCACTCCCTGGCTTTACCCTCAGGGCTCCTCCCTAGAAGAGACACCCTAAAGAGGAAGTCAGCTCAATTTCCCTTCACTGGTTACGTAGGCTTTACTTCACCCAACAAGCCTAAATGTTCTTATAAATGTGTCTATGTTGTTAATCCCAAAACTCCTTATAAGTATATTCCTCTATATTTTTTTATAAAGCAGAAATGAAAAGAATTGGCTCCACAATTACTATTTAATAACAGAAATACTAGTTAACAGCAATGTATAATTTTTATGTCTAAAGGAAGTTGAATATTAAGAGTCAGTTAGATACAGTAAAACTAAAGCTGTAAGTAGGGCCCACTATTCATCTTTAATACCAAAAAATAAAAAAATTTAAAAAAACCCATTGTCATCAAGTCGATTCCGGCTCATAGGAACCCTGCAGGACAGAATAGAACTGCCCTATAGAGTTTCCAAGGAGCAGCTGGTGAATTCGAACTGCTGACCTTTTGGTTAGCAGCCATAGCTCACCATAGCTCTTAACCACTGTGACACCACAGCTACTATTTTTAAACTTATATTTGAGTACCGTCTAGCAAGTTTTGATTAAAAATGCATGATTTAGCAGTCAAAGTTTTGGGGCTTTTCATGGCTATAGGGTCACTATGTGATAGAGTCAACTCAACAGCACATAACAACAACAACGACATGGCTTTTTGCCTTGTCTTCTCTACTGTTCACTCCAACTAGCCCCTCCACACACACACACACACACACACACACACACACACACACATACACCCCAAACACACAGAGAATTATAGACACACAATACAGAACAACTTGTCTAGACTACAACAACCCTTTGAGATTGTAAATGTCTTAAATAAAGGTCATGTATCCAAAACCTGCTGTAAATTTGCGTGCACAAGGCCTGTAAACAGCACTGCGTGCATATAAGAATTTCATAATCCATTCCAGTGGTGATAATAAGGAATTGATGCCATCATTTCATTTTATCAAATACTGTTTGTAATAGGATATCGAACAGTGTGAAAAGAATTTTATTATGCATAGGTGTTATTGTAATGATATTTATAGAAATAGGAATTTTCTATATAATAAATAATAGACACTACAAAAGTCATAGATTGTGTGTATTTTTTGTTGTTGACAATGTCTGCACAGTTAAAGTGAATATTCTGATGTTGTTGATTGAGGGTTTGCATAGTTTTGTTTACAAGTTATTTTGGAAGAACATTTTCTGGAACAAAAAATGGAAAAATTAAAATGTTATTTGTTAGAAAATAGAATTTCTCTATGCTTGAGAGTACATTTTGCCTAAAAAATTACTTATTTGATCATTTGTATTTCATTGCAGGATTTCCAGTGTCGGACTACACTTCAAGAGCTAAATGCAATCCCCTCTATATTAGATCTCCTAAAGTCAGAATATCCGATTATTCAGCTGTTGGCTCTCAAAACCTTAGGTGTTATTACAAATGATAAGGAGTCCAGAGCAATGCTAAGAGACAATCAAGGCTTGGACCCACTTATTAAGATCCTAGAAACTAAGGTATTTGCAACATTCATTCAACTATCTGTGATGAAAATGTATCTCTCCTAAATGTTGCTATAAAGTGTGAATTATAGAGTATTTTCTAAATGAAATTTTATTACGTTTAAGCATATTATTAAGTATACAATGTATAGATTTGCTTACTGCTACATAAAGTTTATTCACTTGATTAAATTAGACTAATTGGGAAGGCCATTATAAATTACTAAAGCCTCCTTCTGCTTTAGAGGAAACCCTGGTGGCTTAGTGGTTAAGAGTTTGGCTGCTAACTAAAAGGTTGGCAGTTTGAATCTACAAGATGCTCCTTGAAAACCCTGTGGAGCAGCTCTCCTCTGTCCTATAGGGTCGCTATGAGTCAGAATCGACTCAATGGCAACGGGTTTGGTTTTTTTGTTTGGTTTCTGCTTAGAAGATTTAAGATTTTAAATTTCTTATCTCTAATCTTCCTCATGATTTCCTGAAATACCTAGACTTAGTTTAACTTTTGGCTGCCCTGGTTTTCTCTGGAATAAAGCAAGAAGAATAATTTATCTCCTGCACATATTTTGAGAAATATTGGAGCCAAATTTCCTTAGTAGCTAGTATGTTTCTTAGGAATGAATTAGACACTCTAAGAAGGTGTATGCCTAGTTTTAGACACCCTCGGTTACAAAAACTAATCTAGTAGCTTCCTGAATACCACTTAGTTGACTTGAAGTGGTTCTGATAGCTCTTGAAAGTGTCCAGTGTCTTAACTACAGAATGAAATGGGAAGAAGTAGATGTGTTGTTTTCAGATCCACTTGCCCCTAATTTTAAAAGTTTAGTAAATTAACTCCTATAACAGAAATCTACTCTTTGAATAACACTTTGTATTAAGTTTTAAACTACCCGGTAATTACTTTTTTTTTTTAAGAATAGAACCTCAGATCTTAGCGACGCACAACTAGGAGAATAAGGTAAAGTCTGAAAGGGCGCTAATTGCACAAGTGTGCTTGATAGCCATGCGTACCTAGCCAGCTGGGATTTGTTGATCATCTACTATGTGCCAAGCACTATGTTAGGCATTTTATGTTTGTTATATAGAATTCCAATAACACGGTACAGTACATATTTTTAACTTATTTTTTAAAGTGGAAACTGAAACTTCAAGGTTACTTAATTTGCCCTGTGTCACATAGAGTGATTAACCACAGAACTGAATCTAGATTTCTGGGATATGTCACAGTATTCTCAGCTGACATTTCACCTGTCTTCTTTTAATCAGGAAAGGGAACATCTTGCAGACATTGTGTGGGTGTTTTGCATATGTAATTTTATTAAATCATCAAAACAGTCCTTTGAAAAATGTGATTATTATCAATTTCTCAGTTGTAAAATGGGATTAATGACATAATAAAATGGAAATAATGATAATATTATTATTATTATATTATTACTCTCTTATTACATATGAGAAAAATGAGGCTTAGGGAGGTTAAATAACTTGCATATTGTCACAGAGCTAGAAAGTATAAGCAAAATGTTTTTTCACAATTATTATACTCATTGTAGTTTGAAAAATTCAAATAATACAGAAATAGAGAGTGAAAAGAAAAAGTACTTCTCTCTATCCCCACTTATAACTCCCCTCCCCTTCTCAGAGATAACTATTATTGCTATATATCCTTTCTGATCATCATCTTTGCTTATATATAGATACATATACAAATATATAGGCTCTATCCTTTTTTTCATATAAATGGGATCATACTATACATATTGTTCTACAACTTGCATTTTTCACTCATTGTTCCTTGGAGAACTTTTCATGTTAGTACAAATGAAACTGCCTCATTTTCTTTAAAAGTGATTAAAAATAGTTTATAATATTAGCTATATTTATTTCACCTTTATCCTATTGATAGGCCTTCAGGTTGTTAACACTTTTTGCTGTATTTTTATATATTTTATGAGTATAAATTCTATTTCTCTATAAAGATATATAAAATTAATTGACTATACTTATTAATGTAAATTAATTGTAATATAAAATATATAAATATGATGTATTTATATATTTTTTGCTATAACATTTTTTGCTGCATGGTGGTGCAGTGGTTAAGAGCTTAGACTGTTAACCAAAAGGTCAGCTGTTTGAATCCACCGCTGCTCCTTGGAAACCCTGTGGGGCAGTTCTACTCTGTCCTATAGGGTCGCTATGAGTCGGAATCAACTCGACAGCAACGGGTTTGGTTTTTTTCTTTTTTGGTTTTATACTTTGTTCACCTATAGGAGAATTCTTCTAGGATATGTACTTAAAGTGCAATTACAGAATTAAAGATGAAACACATTTAAAATGTTTGTATACAATACCAAGTAGTATACTAAATTAGATTTTCTAATTGATATTCCTACCAATCAAATTTGAGAGTGACTGCTTCCTTGCCAGCTTTCCAGCACTGGATATTATTGGTCTTTTTATCAAGTTTTGCCAATATAAAGGTGGAGAGGCATCATTTTTGTTGATATTTGTTTTCCTAGTAATGACTGGATGGAGAACTTTTCTTTTTTCTTCTTTGTCCCTTAAGATTTTCTTTTCTATGACAAGAGTAGAAATATAGATATTTTTCTGTTCTTTTAAGTTATAGTATGAACTAGAATTTGTGACTCTTACATTTGATTACCTCTGCTTATTTTAGCTCATCGATCTATTTTGGATTCACTTTTCATTTTGTAAAATGTCTTAATTTTGCCATCTTCTGAATGACATTTTGTCTGGGCATAGTCGTTTTCCCTCTGAACATTCAAAGTTTTGCTGCATTGTCTTCTTGCATCCAGTAGTGCAATGAGAAGTCTTATAATAATCTGGATTTCTTTATTTTTTAGGTCATCTGTTTAATCCTTTCTGGAAACATTAATGATTAAAAAAAATTATTGTGTTTTAGGTGAAAGGTTACAGTGCCAATTAGTTTTTCATTCAGAAAACTACACACAAATTGTTTCGTGACATTGGTTGCAATCCCCACAATGTATCAGCCCTCTCTCCCTTTCCCTTTCCACCCTGGGTTCTCCATGTCCATTCACCCAGTTTTCCTGTCCCTTCCTACCTTCTTGTCTTTGCTTTGGGGCAGATGTTCTCCATTTGGTTTCCTATACTTGACTAAGGAGCATGTTCCTCACATGTTTTATAGGCCTATATAATCTTTGGCTGAAAGGTGGACTTCAGGAGTGGCTTCAGTTCTGAGTTAGGAGGACATCTGGGGGACATAGTCTCAGGGGTTCTTCCTGTCTCTGTCAGACCAGTATGTCCAGTCTTTTTTGGGAATTTGAATTTTGTTCTACATTTTCCTTTCAGTTCAGTCTGGGACCCTCTATTGTGATCCCTGACAGAGGGGTTAGTGGTGGTAACCGGGCACCATCTAGTTCTTCTGTGCTGACTTGTGGAAGATGTGGTTCATGTGGTCCATTAGTCCTTTGGACTAATATTTTCCTAGTGTTTTTGGTCTTCTTCATTCTCCTTTGCTTCAGACACAATGGGATGAATAGATGTATCCTAGATCGCCGCTGGCAGGCTTTTAAGACCCCAGATGCTACTCATCAAAGTAGGATGTAGAACATTTTCTTTATGAACTGTGTTATGCCAGTTGACTTAGATGTCCCCTGAGACCATGGTCCCTATCCCTCAGCCCCAGTAACTCAGTCCCTCGAGGTATTTGATTGTGTCTAAGAAGCTTCTATGACATTGCACTAAGAAGTTTCCTGAATACAAGCAAACACTTCAAGGGACAGAGTAGCAGGGGTGAGGGTCTGGGGACCATGCTTTCAGGGGACATGTAGGTTAACTGGCATAACAAAGTTTATTAAGAAAATGTTCTGCATCCTGCTTTGTTTGGTGAGTGGCATCTGGGTTCTTAAAAGCTTATAAGCAGCCATCTAAGATGCATCAATTGGTCCCAGCCCACCCCGAGTAAAGGAGAATGAAGAACACCAAAGACACAAGGAAAGTATTAGCCCAAGAGACAGAAAGGGCCACATAAATCAGAGACTGCATCAGCCTGAGACCAGAAGAACTAGATGGTGCCCAGCTACCACCAATGACCACTCTGACAGGGAACACAACAGACTCCCTAATGGAGTAGGAGAAAAGTGGAGTGCAGAACTCAAATTCTAGTAAAAAGACCAGACTTAATGGCCTGACCAAGACTGGAGGAACCCCAGACAGCACGGCCTCCAGACTCTCTGTTGACCCAGAACTAAAACCATTCCCGAGGCCAACTCTTTAGACAAAGATTAGACTGGACTATGGGACATAAAATGATACTCGTGAAGAGTGTGCTTCTTAGCTTAAGTAGATACATGAGACTAAATGGGCATCTCCTGTCCAGAGGTGAGATGAGAAGGCAGAGAGGGTCAGGAGCTGGTTGAATGGACATGGGAAATCAGGGGTGGAAAGGAGTGTGCTGTCACAGTACAGGGTGAGCAATTTAGGGTCACATAACAATGTATGTATAAAGTTTTATATGAGAGACTAACTTGAATTGTAAACTTTCACTTAAAGTACAACAATTAAAAAAAAGTAAAAAAAAAAAAAAGAAGCTTCTATGACTTTGCCTCGGTCAGGTTGTGTTGACTTTCCCTTCACCAAAGTTACCACTTGTCTACTACCTAGTTAGTAATTTCCCCTCCCTATCCCTTCCCTCCCTGGTAACCATCAAAGATTGTGTTTTTCTGTGTGTAAACCTTTTCAACAGTTTTTGTAATAGTGGTTTCATACAATATTTGTCCTTTTGTGACTGACTTACTTCACTCAGCATAATGCTTTCCAGATTCATCCATGTTGTGAGATGTTTTGCAGATTCATCATTGTTCTTTATCGTCACACAATACTCCACTGTGTGTATGTACCATAGTTTGTTTATCCATTTGTGTGTTGATGGGCACTTAGGTTGTTTCCATCTTTTTGCTATTGTGAATAATGCTGCAGTGAACATGGGTGTGTGTATGTCTATTTGTGTGATGGCTCTTATTTCTCTAGGC